GATGGTTATAAGGTTTTACTTTGCATTGAGCCCACTTTTAAATTAAATGTTACGAACGTTAGAATTGTACTCTTTTTGTTCTCATCTTCTATATATAAATAATGTATATTTAACGCTAATAATTAATTTCAATAAGCTCAGTTAAATTCAGACAATATTTATTTATTGTATTTTTCCAATTTTAGATATACCATTGGATCGGAATTATATATCGGAATATATATATATATATATATATATATATATATATATATATATATATATATATATATATATAATTAAATTGTTGAATAGACATTAATAACTAATGCTGATCTGAACTCCGTTACAACTTAGTTGTAACGGTGTTCAGAGTAGCATTAGATCTTAACGTTTATTCCAACTTAATTTCAATAAAAACAAAATAAATAGAAAAACATATGTTTTTTCTTTAAATAATTTTATAATTTTAAACTTAATATAGATTAAATTTAAAATTGGTAATTTTGAATTTTATAGTATAATTTAATATTTATTAGTTAGAATGAATTCTATTTTAGTCTAACCCTAACATTAAAGCATTAGATAATTATTATAACCTTAGTTTGTTGTCAAGTTTTTTGAATTCTCGTATACTTGTATTTTGATTGGTCATTCCAGCTTATGTAACATCGTTTCCCCTAGCGAGGGATGTTTGATTGATTTGAACCTTTTAAAATCCTTTATTTTACATTCAACACCATTAATTGATAAGACACCAGAAGTTTTAATACAAAATGGCTACCTTTGTAGTGATTTTATAACATATTTATGTTATAATTTTCGAATAAATGCAATGGTTCACGAGTAGTAAGTTCGATCCTCACTGGGTGCCGTATACTTTCGGGCATGTGCCAATTAAAGCTACGCTTAGATAATCACCGTGGCGCTTCGACGTGAGGTAATGTTTAGCAAGCATGTCTCGCTAGATCAATTAAGACTGAAGAGTGAATTAGATCCTCACTGGGTACTTTCGGCCTTGTGTCGCATTTAAGATACACTTAGAAAAATCACTATATTTGGGTGCCATTATACTTTTTTTGCCCCTACCTGAGAAGACCATAGATCTGTTTCTCGCTCATTAAAATTTGCATAATGACGTTTAAATTGGGTTGGACGTCTGCAAAGTATTATGTTTTCACTCAATAAAGCATCAATAAAGGCGTCTTCAATTTAAAACTATTTCAAGAATAATTAACATTAAACATGATATAAATATGTGGCGATTTTTTAAAATTATTTCACCCCAAGCAAAGAGATAATGCCACTAGCAGGTAGTTGTTGCAGAGAGTGAAAGAGAGTGGGAAGACTTTAGTGAGGAGTTTGTGAGGAAAAGGACAATAAAGCGAGAGGATTCAGGAAGACTGAAAATGGCGATTGCCGTCGGATTTAAAGTTTTGAAGATTTTATGTGTCAAGGAAGCAAAAAATCGGGAGGAAGCACCACAGGTGAGAAGTGAAAGAAAACAAATTATTAAAATAGAACTGGCGGTTGCATGTTTTGATGCCAAAAATGATGAAAATTAAATATTTGAATCTTTGATTTTATATCAACTCTGCAAAATAATGATCCATCATATCATGATTTGTTAATCCACTTGTTTCGAGGTGAAGAAGTATATTAGCGGCCATATTTGAATAAAACACTATCAGATCTATGAATAAAATATTTGTCTATATTTCTGAAATGAGGTATTATGTACACTATTTACCTTATTCGGACTGTTGTCCTCATCTTTGTCACCATATTTATTATAACGTTTCGGCCTTTCAGTATCTGTCTATATTTCGGAGATGAGGTACTATGTACACTATTTACATTATTCGGACTATTGTCCTCATCTTTGTCGCCATATTTATTACAACGTTTCGGCCTTTCAGTATCTGTCTATATTTCTAAGATGAGGTATTATGTACACTATTTACATTATTCGGACTATCGTCCTCATCTTTGTCGCCATGTTTATTAAAAAGTTTCGGTCGTTCTACGCTCCGGCCTTCTTGCTTACAACACCGAGCAAAAGTCAGAAGTGGCGGCCCAGTGACATTACATAAAGAATTGGTTAGTATAAGTAGTACCCTACAACGTAACAACTACCCTGGGTACATGGCAGCAGCCGCAAAAAAACTGGGATAGGCGGGTACAAGAGGAGTACAACAACACTCAGTACAAAAACAGTCTGCCTGCCTTAGGATATGCGGTCCATATAACACCAGGACAATCTTCAAAAGATGGACGACACTTCACAGATATCTCTCCCGAGTATGCCCCCCACATAGAAGAGAACATGACTAAAGACTGTGTACGCCGTTCCGTGCAGCTGCAGAAAGAAATATAAAGGGTAGGCAGGCCGCCCCCTTAAGGTAAGGTGTCAAGAAAGCCAGAAAGTTGTAACACTAGGGGAAGTGGAAAAATCAGGCGTGGCTGACCACATATCGAAAGAAAAGGGAGATTACTGCCCTCTGTGGGATCAGGTTGAGATCATAGACAAAGAAAACCATTGGAAAATTCGTAAACTTAAGTAATCTGCACATATGCTTGGCCACAAAAATCTCCTGAGCTGACCAAGCATAGAAATGAATACAATATGGGAACCAGTAATAAGGAGTACCAGAGAAAAGCGATAATAACAACAAAAATTGCAATATGAGCTCTGGTAAAACATGTAATGATAACAGCAAAAATTGCAATATGAGCACTGTTAAAATTGGTTGCTGAAGACTTTAGGTTTATAATACCCAGAAATTTATACACAGATGTCCTCAAGGACACATGGCGCAGTGGATAAAGGCGTTTGTTAGATCCAGTGACAGGACCCAAAGAGTGTGAGTTCAATACCTGATTAAGGGGAACTGGCAGATAACTGACATCCATGGAACTAAAGAATTCACTTCGATAATCCAACCACCTGAAGAAGGCCGGGGCGTACAAACGCCGAAACGTTGTAATAAATATGGCGACAAGGATGAGGGCAATAGTGTGAGAAAAACATTTTATTATTTTAGCATGCTCATTTAGGCTCCTTCGTATACTATAACCATCATTGATGTTTGTATCTGTTCTGCTATTTGGATTTTTAATTTTGTATGGAGCATTTTTATTGCTACACAGAGATGTATATTGCTTGAATATTTTTCCATTCTCATGGACAACTCTTTTAATAACGGACCATTCCATTTATTTGGTTTGTATGAAACCATTGGCAAGGTGTGTAGTTGTTATGATTGCAAAATATGAAAAAGAATTGTCTTGTACACTTTCGCTTAAATCTTCTTGGTTATGATTTGTACCATTCAATAATGACATCACCCAAGAAAGTACAATACTTTTTTGTATCTATTATCTATTTTGAATGGATTTATAATTTTACTGCCTATATTACTCGTTCAAAACGTTACTCCACTGCCTCATTGTTATTTTCTATGATGTGCTGACAATTTCTATGAAGGGCACAACATCTATCCCAATAGTTCTCAACCGGGGTTCATATGAACTTTAGGGTTTACGTAACGTTACTGGGGTCCACACAAAAAATAGTAAATTGGCGCTACACGGTAATATTTTATTGTTAATAGAGCAATTTCACTTCGGAACGGTTGTTACAACTGAGAATTGGAATTTCTGCAGTAATCTACGCCATATTAAAATACTAAAAATGGAAAAACAACCCTAAGACTAGCAGAAAACGAGTAAGTTATCATTCATTTTACTCTACCGGATGTTTTCATTGTAAAAGTTGAATAAAAACTGAGAAGGATATAAATTATACATAAAAGTTCCATAGAATTTAGTTGCTAAATACAAGTTTATTTTCATTAAATTAGTTTTAATTCAAAATAAAACATATACACTTACTATTCCTCTAATACAAACCCTAAACTTATAGCGGATCGTGGTTTTGTTTACTCTTTGTGAGAGAAAACATGTGTGGAACTCCTGAAATTTTCCCGCTACAAAAATATGGCGGACTAGAGATAAGTCCAACCAAAAGAAAATGTAAGAGAAAACAACCAAGAACCGATATACACGTACAAACAAATATGTGTATTAGGCAACAAAAAGGGTTTACAATAGACATAATTAGTGTGTGTATGTATGAACGTAGAGAGTTCGTGTTTCAATGTGTGTTCGAACGTACGTCTCTGTGCGTGTGCATAATGTTCATGGCGTCTTCCCATAAGTGGGAAACGCGTATCTTCTGCGAGAACTTTACATGATCGCAGTGTCAGCTGAAATTCAGAGAGAGAGAGAGAGAGAGAGAGAGAGAGGAGGGGGGAGGGAGATAGAGAGGGAGAGAGAGAGAGAGTCTCAAGTATTTATAGTTTAGGGTTAGCGTCGCCTAGGAACAATTTGGACAATTAGGAAATTAAGGAGGAGATAACTCCGACAAACATATCTCTTAGTGAAAACTGAAATAAGGTTTTATTCATCGAATCTCTATGGGCGTGCTCCCCAAAAAATTAAGAGTAAAAGTAGACCATTGGCATAAAAAAAAAGTACTACTTCACGTAACTAAAACATTTCTCCTTTTGAGATTTATCTAAAGATGTTAGTTTGGTTACTCTTATGGCTTTAGCAAGAGTTTTTAATATTCTGTTTCCTTTCTCTCTTTCCTGTTACGTTCGCAACATCAGATTCTTCAAATCATTTTTTACTGGTCAATACAATTTTTCAAAATTTATCCAAGTCTCTTTTTCTGACCTTTTTAAGGCGATTTTTCCTTGTTTTCATCTTGCCCATGTTTTCACTTTCTTTATTTACTGTTATCTGATTACTGATCAACTTTCTCTTCGTTTCTAACATTCTGTTCACATCATTTAATAAGTTTACTATATCTTTTTTTCTGTTTTGTGATTATATCTTTGTTACGACCAACGAGCAATGTTTATGTATTTGAAATTCAATAATACGAATATTAATGACTATTACTATCGCATGAAATTATTTACGTTATCAGCAAACCTCGAGTTGCATAGGACCTAGGCCATATCACATTGAAACATCACTTCTCGTAGGATCATGGAAGTTAAGCAACGTCAAGTCTGGTCAATACTTAGATGGGTGACCGCTTTGGAATACCAGGTGCTGTAA